AGCACCTGACAACAACAGCAAACCAGAGACCTCATTTCATCTCTTTTTCTTTCTTTACATTGGATACACGTACAGCACGATTTAGAGGACACGTTTCTGGGCCTTTTAGTATGATTACATCAAAAACTAAATATTTTTCTGAACAAAACTTTCCATTCTTTTTTGAATTATCTTTATATTTTATAGACAGGTTTTCTGAAAATATTATCCACAGATTAGCTAGAAGCAATCATAAAAATAAAGCATTTTTTTCTTTTGGTTCTTTTTGTTATTTTATTGTTCTCCTCATACCCAAATATGCTAAAGAAATATTTTTTTTGTGTGTGTTATACTAACCACAGCAAACTTCACAAGGAAATGCTTAGGTTTCTCTCTCTCTTATAAGTTATAATTAAATATGCCATATTTAAATAACAATTATTATTCTACTTTAAAATTGGAGCATATAAATCAATATTGAGAGAATCATTGTTAACTAAACTGATGAAAACTGGAAGGCACGTAGGACAAAGTACACTGCTCTGAAAAAATGGTCAATTATATTTAGAGCTTTGAATAGGTTTATTCATTAGGGTTCAAACCCCTGGTGAGAAATTGCCTTTCCATCCCAGACACACAGAATCAGAAATCTACATTTTAATAAGATCCTCTTGTGATTCTTATGTATATTTTGCTCAACTCTGTGGAGTAGTTACTTTCTTGTACTTTAATATTTCAAATAAAATGACATGAAAGAGTTAATTTTGTGTATAGTACCAGTAATCTTAAAAAGTAATAAAAGTTTGACATCTAGAGTATCTGTTTAAAGATATAGAAGCAGCCAAAGCAGAAAGGCAAACCAACTGTCTTTGACTGCAAATCATACTGACCCTATAGGGATGAGTAGAATTGCCTTATAGGATTTCCAAGGCTGCAAATCTTTACAGAAGCACATCCTGCAACATACTTCTGCAGAGTGGCTGGTTGAACTGCTTAATTTTTGGTTAGCAGCCAAGTGCTTTAACATCTGTACCACCAGCCACCAGGACTTCTTGTAGAGGAGAAAGAGGATTTAAAAAAAAAAAAAAAAGTCTTTTTTTTTTTTTCAATTTTTCTATTTCCTCTATCACATATTAGTGATTTTCCATGTTAGAGATTTGGAAATAGCAGGCATTTATAATAGCTATAATACACATTTAGTATTGAACTTCTTCCTATCTGAATCATCATAAACATGGATAGTAAATTTCCTAGAAGAATGAAAGCTTAAATCTCAAACTCAAGGTCAAATTCAAGGACCAAAAAAGCACACATATAACCAAACAGAAAAGAAAACGTAATCATCAATGATATAAAAATAATCACATATGAAAGACATTTACATAAATGAAAACGGCCCAATTTATCCTAAACTGTACAAGTTTGTAATGAAACTTTTATCCTTAGTAATGTTTTTTTTAAACTACATAGACTCTTTACCAATACAAACTCCTAACTCATGCATCATCAGCATTAGAAAATTAAAATCAAAAGTTGGGGATGCTATCATTTTCTTGATGAGGAGCTTTTTTGACTCAGCTGTTCCTGCTGAGAGTAATTTAATGGTGGCAGACAGAATGTAGCTGTGCATCAGCAGTTTTTAGTGGGAGCAATTTTGTTCCCTAGAAGTTATATTTGGTAATGTCTGCAAACTTTTTGGTTGTCACATCTTGAGGTGAGGTTTAAATGATAGAGGATCCTGCTAAACACTCTACACTGTAGAGGGCAACCCTCCACCACAATTATTTGGCCAAAAGAGGTAAGAGTGCCAAGGTTGAGAAATCTTGTTCTCCATGAAAAGGCATTTGGGGAAAGAAGTTCACCAGAAGGCACTCACTGTTATAAAATGTCTTCCCCTAAAGCTGAAGTAGTAGTAAGGAAACATTTCGTTGATGGCATCTGTGGAGAAATGCCACTATAAAGGAGAGTTATATACCTAAATTTCTCAAATTTACATGAGTTTTTGTAACAGAAAATTGAAATAAAGTTAGCTAGAGCTATGGAAATACACTAAACTATGTGTGGTTGACAAAACAATCTTCATTCCTTAAAGTTTGAGTGTAAAGTAACTGCAAATAGAAAGACTATGGACTCTGATGTGAACTTTCATGTACCAGAACGGCATGGTGAAGCATAACGTGCAAATAAGGATGATGAAGGTATAACCAAAACCCAGTTACCATCAGGGTGACTCTGACTCATGATGTTCCCATGTGTGTCATAGTACAACAGCACTCTATAGGGTTTTTACTGGCTGATTTGTCGAAAATAGAATGCCACTCCATTCTTTCAAGGTGCCTTCAACCATTTATACCACCCCAGGACTCTATGAAAGTGTAAACCCATTGCCATTGAGTGGATTCTGACCAATAGCGACCCTATAGGACAGGGTAGAACTGCCACATAGTGTGTCCAGGGTTGTAAATCTTTATGGAAATCGATTGCTTCATCTTTTTCCCATGGAGTGACGGTGGTTTCAAACTGCCAAACTTTTTGGTTAGCAGTCAGATAACCTCTGTGCCACCAGAGCTCCTTATGAAACTATAAGGGTGTTTTAAAATATGAGGACCTTCTAAATAGGGCCCATGGCAAAAACAGAAAAAACAAAAACATCCTGGCTTCTGACTGTTTTTCACCAGCACCAATACCCTGGTATTGAATAGGCTATCAATGTCAGATCCACCAGCCTTCTGGTTAGCAGTCAAATGCCTTAGCCACTATGCCTCTTTTACATTTGTAGTGTCTAGTCTGATGCTCCAATGAGATTTAACAATGACAACTCCACTTATAAAATAATGTCTAAAGAGCCTCTAACGGAATTGAGTTTTTCACATAGTACAATTTCTGACAATGGGAAAGAGCAGCAAGAGCTTTGGTTTATTGCAACAACTGTCATAGTACTGTGTATGTAACCTGTCTTTATTGCAGTATAGAGTCTAAATGACCACAGTTTAAGTTAGGAAAAAGTAAAAAGTCAGGGGACTGCTTCTGCTTCAAAATGAAGGAAAATACACGATGTATGAAATGGCTTCATGTAATTTTTTGAAAATTAAAAAGAGATGAGAGAAAATGCCTTTTCAGTTGTGCTGTGAAAACAATGTAATGAAATCAATCATTCTCCAGAGTGTGTTCAAATAATACAACAAAAATTCTCTCTCACGTTCACTATTCACTTTTCAATGGATATTTAAGCTACATAGAGAGAGGAACTTACTTATTTTTTAAAAACTACCCAACACAAGCACTTAAATATGTAGAATTTCATTTAAATAAGTCAGTCAACAATTTTTATAAAGTATTTGACACTTCATTGTAGAAACATAGGCAAAATGACTATTAAAACCAAAATGAAAAATACTGTTCAATTTAAAAAATGTACTTAAACAAGAACCTGAAAAAGTTTATGATATGCATAACATTGTTCAAGCAAAATTGCACTAGTATTACATAAATCAATAGTTTATAAAGGCCTCAATATGGCAAAGTTTAGAAATAGGTAGTATGCATGCACATAGTACAACAAAAGTCTCTTTATAAAACAGCAGGGCCTTTTTTTTTTTTTTTTTTTTTAATGCTTGTACAAAGGGATAAAGAGCAACCACAAACATATTTCATCTGTTAAGTTAATACATTATGACAGCTAAAAGTCAGTCATGTCCATTAGAGGAACAAAAAAGCCCTCCATACTTTGTGAATAAATCTTTTGTGCCTTTAAAGATATTTGTATAAAAATGCTATTCTTTTTCATACAACTTAAGTAAATCGTACTTGTTTCAATCAAAATTTGAACAACAAAAAAGAAAAAAGTGAAGTGTCCATGTGTTTTGCATAACTGAAAGAAACCAGAGTACCAGAGTTACTGGTACAACATTTCTACTCTCCACCTTTGATAATGGGCAGATAACTGTTCTCTAACTATCAGAAGATTTTTTCAGAATATTTTTTGATAGGGCAAATAAGATTAGTCATATTGTCTCTTGAAACTATTTACCACTTATTCTAAACAAAAATGACTCTTTGCTTCTTCCTTTAGACCTAACAAAGAGACTGCCTTTGTTTAATTGAAATTGTTATCAATTTGTGTGCTTATATATTATTCTTTAGTATTCAGTATGGTAAAAGATTGGGTTAATCTTCTGCAAAATGCATGTGGTTGGGAAGAAATACGTAAGATTTGAGTACTCAATGAATGCCCTCTTGTGCTGTAGGCTGGCTATTGCCTCAGGGCTTATGGAGAATAAAATGTCATATCCCATAGCAAGCATGGTCTCTCCACTTTGGGGATATTTTTGATATGTTCTATCAGTAAATATAACTATTTTTTACAGGGTGTATATATTTGATATACCACAGAGTCCACTAAATTTTGGAAAATATAGTTATCTTTTCATGCAAATTATTAATTTTATATATTTTAAAAGTTTTTCCTCAAAAATCTTCTCTATTACTTGGCAATCTAAGTCTAAGTTCAAAGCAGATGATGCTGAACTTGTGAGTGCTATATATTTCAGCAGATCTGAATCAATTTTAATGGGCACAAAGAAGAGAGTTGACCAATCATTCTTCCATTAATTTAAACAGAAAAATAAATTGACATTATAGTACAGCTTCCAGATTATATAATGTAAAAGTGCAGAGATCCATTTTAAGTAGAACCAAAAATGTTCATATAAAATAGATTGCTCATATTCACCCTACAAAGGGATATGTTGTTTTAGTATTAATAAATTCAAAGGTGTGTCCTATCAGCAGCATTTGTTGTAAATTTTACTGTAGTGCAGTTCTTTTTCATAAAAATACCATACAAATGGTCAATCAAAAGTCATCAGCAAAAAATAAAAAACAGAAAACAATTAACCAGGGGAAAAAAAGGCAAAGGAAAGACGTAATGCTGATGCCAAAACAAGTACAATACTGTTGGAACATACAAAAGTAATCCTTATATTTTATACATTTATACAGCATATAAAAGGTTTTGCTGATTATGCCACTGTCTCTCTTATTCCAATTTCTATTTTCTTTGGAAGCAGTTCTTTCCTTTCATCAACACTTCCTAAAGAGTTTCTACAGTTTTGGCCATCCATATATAATTTTGCATACACTGGATTGGAGTAATTTGTTGGCTACAGGAGAAAAAATAAACAAGTATAATGTTATTAGCAGCATTGAACACATTAATCATTTCTTTTCTAGGATGTCTATCCTTAATACTAAACATGCATATGCAATATATTTAATGTGCCAAATGGTAAATATTTAAATAAATTAAATGCTATGTTTACTGGCTTTAATCTACTTTAGCATGGTATCAGATGAGGACATAATTCCATATTTTTCAGGTAACTTGTGAACCTGAAGTGGCCTTTCATATAATATGAGAAAACTGAAGAAATAATACTATATTCATTGAGAGTTTATTTTAAAACATAAAGAGTTAAACCAAATTTTCTTTTTGGTTTACCTTAAAACATAAACAGTTAAATCAAATTCTCAATTTTAGTCAGTATGTTTTTCCCTTCACTGCAAGCCTATTGTTGACGTGTTGATATGTTTATAGAACATCATCTAATTGCTTGGTTCTTATAATTTTTCAACATGAAGTTACAAACAAGAATACACAAAATAAAAATGAGCAAACTTATATTGCTCTAATAGATAAAAACAATATTTTAGATAAAGAATAATATTTTTGTTTCAATACAAGCTATGCATACTTATCACTGGAAAAAAATTTTTAACTCATTCCGAAGAATTGTGATGAACACAGTCCTGTGAAATTTCATGGACACTTGACTGCATTTTGAAGACAAATTGAGAAATGTAGAAATGAACTCTTTCATTTGAACAACATGTGCAATGTTCATTATCTTACTAATTGTGTCTTACCCCCAAAATGTATTGTCTTGAGTTTTGTTTTATTATTATTATTTTTTTTTACTTTCCACAGCAGTACATTAAGTCTTAGTTACCACAAAGAAACACTTTAAAATGTTAAGCATGCAAATGAGACAAACATGGTTAACAAATGAGGATGAAAAGCAGTTGTTGAGGAAGTAGTGCAGGGAGAGTACTCAGTCCTAGAAATAACTCTTCTGCCTAAAATGGACTATATGCAACTGCAGACAATCTATGGACCCCAGTTACTTAATTTTTTACATTAAAAAGGTTTAATTAGATGCTCTTTAATTTCCCAATATGATGCCACATTGTAAAGTATATTTGTGAGGAACTGTCCATCAAATGTGTATCTACTAAACAAAGCATCTTAATAGGGAATGGATGAAACCAAACATATACTTAAGTTTAAGTCATTCAGTTGAACTTTCTAGCTAGAGATGCCATTTCAAAAAAAAGAAAAAAACAGCAATTATTTCATACTTATTGTTAAGGGGCTGCAACATTTTCTAATTCGTAAAAGGAATATTTCTACCTAATGGGTTGTCAAAAATGATAAAATATTTTATATATTATCTTATGTAGGCATAGGCAGGTCACATAATAAAAGCCCCCAATTTTAATGCTGTTTTGAAATCTCTTGTTAATTAAAAAATCAATTAAAAGCAAGTCTCTATCAAGTCTAGTAATCAGCCTTTGGTTGTGAGAGGCTCTGGGATGGAATGGATATGGAATAATGAGTGTTCTTCTCTCACCCCAGCAGTTAGTGGTCCTTTCAGATCAGAGTTTAGGTAGATGGGCGGCGCTGTGTGGGGAAGCTTGAAAGCACTGGGCCCTCCCCCTATGTACCTGGCCTGTATGCAAACAGAGAAGTTTAGTTTCTGATCTAATAACATGGAACGATTTTTCATTGACATAAATTCATTATAAGTCATTAAGCCCATATAAAAATACTCTTTTGTGCTGTAGCATAAACTATCTGTTCATGTTAGCTTCAATAATTTTAAAAAAAATTATTATCATTGCCTCATAGTTAGACTTTTCTACTCTCTTCAGCTTATCAGCAAACTGTTTTCCTCCTAGAATTCTCCATTTAGTTCTGCTTCTTTAATTTCATCCTCCACAAATAAATAATATCTTTTCTCACAGTTCTGTGAAAAATGTGCCAGCCTCCCCCAATTTTCATTGGAAAATGTTGACAATATTCCATTCTGGTAACTCCAATATTTGATTGCTTCCAATTAAAGAAAAATTCATCATCATTCTGTAGTTTCATGGTAAAAAACAAAACAAAATGAAAAAAAAAAAATTTTTTCTTTTTGGGAAATCAGACTATGCAGTCTGAGATATACCAATTAGTGATTACATCAAAGGCAATGAGTAACCCTGCTTAGGTCTAAGGGCAGAACTAGCAAATATGGTAGACACTGATATTCACTTTGTATTTATAAGCTTTATATTTATAAGTGCTCCAAAATATAGTAATAAAAAGTTAGCCAAGAAGATGCATAATATGAAAATATTCATGAATATACATCTTTAAAAAAAAGTAACCATCCACTCTTAACACTGAGTAATCACAAAGTTTGGGACAAAAGCAAGGATATCAGTAAAACATTTTTAACATGAAATAGTGTTGATTCTTTATTCTCCTCTGCAAAATTTTCATTTAGAATATATTGAAAATAATCCAAATAAAGATTGGGATGCATCTGAGATGAAATTAGTATATACTAATTCCTTTGAGGTCTGGTAGCATAGTGGCTAAGACACTTGCCTGCTAACCAGACGGCTGGTGGTTCAAACCCACCAGCCACTCCTCGGAAGGAAGGTTGGGCAATCCTACTTCCGTAGTGATACTGCCTCGGAAACCCAAGGAGGGGTCGCTATGAGTCGGGGCCGACTCGACGGCACATAACAACAACAACAACAATTCCTTTGAACTCTTCAAGCAATTCAGTGATTACCTCTATAGTCAAATCAATTTTATTAATTACTTCAATTATTTTAATAAAAAAATACCATTAGACAACAGATTTCACCTATTTTGAAAATAGTGAAAATCTTTTCTCTATAAAAAGCTCATTTATATGTAATATTATATATATTTGACCACATAATAAATATATTAAACTACATTATAACACATTACATTGTCCAAATATAGTTGACCATTAAGATTGTTTCCATGTGGTCATCTTCTTCTCACAAGTATTGATAACTATCAGGACTAGCTGTGTAGCTGTGTTTTCTGCATTACTTATTAGGCAACAATTCATATTTACATTTTTCATATATCAGGAGCCAGCTGGAATCAGCCTTATAAGTAAAACATTTCAGTTCCTTCAGTTAGTTAGTCAACAGATTGTTAAATAAATGTGTATTGAGTATTGTGTATTCAATACATGAAAGTATAATTGAAAGTACTGCATTTTCTTTTCTTCTTGTAGAATAAGAGTTGAAGTTTGTTTTTAATGGAGTACTAAAAATCTATTCACTGTAAGTGTTCAGAAATTGGCTTAATTCTTCATCAATAGATAAAAATAATGGGGAAAATGCTCTTTCCTTATGAAAAGTATGTAAAGTATGTCTTCATTAGTTCACTTTATAATTATTTATGCTGTATGTTATCACTAAGATAAATGCAAAGAATTTGAGAAATGTATTTCTTAAAATGTCTGTTTCCTTCATATATTATCAAATAACAATGTGCATAGTATATGTAAGTCTTTCAATTTCAAGTAAAGAATACAGAAACTAAGGTTATCAGTATTTATTTCATGAGATATGTCAGATGTAGGAAGTAGTTAGTGAGTTAATAATTAATAGTAACTATATAATTATGTTCTAATCAGGAAAAAATTATTAAAATGTTTTCCAATGGTGCAAAACTTATCCCTGCAATAATGCTTGATTTCTTTTCATTGAAATAAATAGTTGAGCATTGAGGAATCACTTTCAGACTTAGAAAGTGTAGTCCTGGATTCAGAACTAGATTGACTATGATACCCTATTAACTTCTTCAGGAGCAGCTTACACTATGAGGGCAAAACCATATGAATATAGATCAGCCATTGTGATTATATATAATATAATGGTGCATTTTGGACAAAGTACCTTTAATTTATCAGAAAATAAGTAATTATTCATTAAATTAATAAGCTAAAATGCTATTTTCTAATAATAAATTCACATTCTCAGTTCAGAGTGAAATGTTCTAAAATTATCATGCAAAATATTCAGATATTTCAGTAAAATGAATATTTGAACTCTAACTTATCTGGGTAATTGTGTAATTTATGTATTTTTCTTGAATTGTGCAGACCTGAGCATAAAATAATGAGAACTAGTAAAGACTTTAAGAAGACTATGCATTCTTACGTTATATTTATCAATGATATGTTTGAAGTTAATAGCAAGGATATTATAACAGAAAAATATTTTTGAAAAGTGATTTGATTAAATACAAATTTAAGGACACAGCTTGGGTGGCTCATCAATAAAAGAAACACTAAAAAAATTAAGTACTTATTTAGGCAATGAAAATTTTTTTTCTTTTTAGTATTAAAAAAATAAATTACCCAACATCTTTACACTAGGCCATATATTTAGATGTGCTAATATGGAAGATGGGGCAATTTACTTCCATAGTGATACTGCCTTGGAAACCCAAGGAGGGGTCACTATGAGTCAGGTCTGATTTGAAGGCACATAACAACAACAACAACAACAATATTTCAACACATGTGAATAAGACATAATTTTGAATAAATTCTACATGTTTCACTAAGTGAACAAATGACAAATATGTTTTCTTAAGCATGTTATATTAATTTGCATGTGTTAGGTAAATGCGGTCTCTATATTTGATTTTTTCTTTAACATAGGCCTACAACATTCAATGCATCCCAAAGACCTTTCAGATAAAAGAAAACTTAATGATAAAAGAAAAGTTCAGAATCACGTAACAGAAGTATGATTTAAGAAAATTAGTTCTTGTGTCCATCATTGTGAGAGATATACCTTTGTTGGATCTATCATAAAACCAGAATCCAAAAGACTTCCATCATTGTGATCATGATCCACCTCATACATGTTATATGATGGATTGCCAATTTCCAAATTTATTCCTCCATTGATAATAGGTTGTCTTCTAATTGTTTTTGTCCTAGGAAATATGAAGTTGATGTAAATGTTATCTGTTTAAATCACACTTTGTACACAATCAGGTATATAAAAACCAAAAACAAACTCACTGCCATTGTGTCAATCTCAACTCAAAGCGATCCCCCATTGGGTTTTGAGTCAGTAAATCTTTACAGAAATAGATTGCCCTGTCTTTCTTCTGTGGAGGGCTGGTGGGTTTGAACCACCAACCTTCTGGTTAGCAATCAAATACCTTAGGCACTGCACCACCAGATCTCCTTAATCAAGTATATAAAACTATAAACGTATAGATTTAATATCTGATTTTAGCATGACAGATGGAAGGCTGGTGGTTCAAACCCCCTAGCCACTCCTCAGAAAGAAGGCTGGGCAATCTACTTCCATAGTGATACTGCCTCGGCAACCCAAGGAGGGGTCGCTATGAATCGGGTCTGACTCGATGGCACATAACAACAACAACAACAGCAGATGGAGAGTTTATAAGTAAAAGATATTTTAAATAGAATAAGTGGCATTTATTAAGTCATCTCAAACTCACTGCCATCAAGTCGATCCCAACTAATAGTGACCCCTCCTTGGGTTTCCAAGGCAGTATCTCTACGGAAGTAGATTGCTCAGTCTTCCTTCAGAGGAGTGGCTGGTGGGTTTGAACCAACAGTCTTCTGGTTAGTGGTCAAGTAAAAAGTCTTCATTTGTTAAGTAATTTTCTTTATATAAACTTAATAAATATATTTGAAATAGAGTCCTACTAAACAGTTTATACTGCATTAGTGGAAATTCAATATTCACTATTCAGTTTTCTTTTAAAATACTACTTTTTTTACCCCTTACTGGGATTCATTCATAATAAGATAGGAATAAATAAATGAATTTTGAAGTAGATTATTTTAAGTCTTCAGCTTAGATCACTACAGTCTTGTTTTATATAATTTAAAAATTGTCATTCACAAGCTCTTTTTGTTCCAGGATAATAACCTCACAGACAACCCATTTCATCCATATCTTTACAACTGCAAATAGATATACATTGAAATAATATTTACAATGAGAAATTAAACAGAACAAATGCACAAGTTGTAACTGAAATGTACAATTTGTGTTATACATATACTTGTTCATTATGACTGCTGAAATTACTAATCATACCAATAATACAAGATATTCTTCTGAGACCATTGCTATGCCAAGGAAAGACTACTACACTCATAAAATTCTATTGAAAATTTTCATATAGTCCTTTGTTAGTTTTGTTAACATAAATCAGTGGACCCATTCAATCAGTATAGCATATTAGGAAGGTTGTCTAAGTTACAGTCACTTAAAATAAATTAATTGGTTTTACAAAAAGATTTTTCAATAAAACCAAAAAACAAACCCACTGCCATAAATTCAATTCTGACTCATAGTGACCCCCATTGGATTTCTGAGGCAGTAAATTTTTATGGAAAGTAGATTGTCCAGTCTTCCTTCTGCGGAGTGGCTGGTGGGTTTGAACTGCTAACCTTCTGGTTAGTAGTCAAATGCCTTAAGAACTGCACCACCAGAGCTCCATAATCAGGTATATAAAACTATAAACTATTATAGATTTAATGTCTGATTTTTGTATGACAAATGGAAAGTTTATAAATAAAAGGTATTTGAAATAGAATAAATGGCATTAATTAAATGACAATTTAAGAAATAATAATAATAAAAAAACCCCTCACTCTTTCTGCAACTATTTGTATGACTTATTTACTGTTAATATAACATTACATTTTACCTTCTTTTTCTTTTACAAAGCACTAAGCCAATTACTAAGGTGGTTGTCAAAGTCACCAAGAGAACAAGAGGCACAATGATGGCGATGCTTCCTGAAAAATAGATAAATGAATAGAAGGACATGTAAATCAAATCAAGAAGTTAAGGCTTAAACATAAGTAAAAGTTGGTATAACTGAGTACTTATTACCACTTAAAAATCATTTGACCATTGATATAGTGAAAATAAAGCATAACCCCAATGTCTATATTCCTATTCATTAAAAAAATAAAAATTCTCCTATTAAATATTTGATCTATTGGAAATATTATTTACCTTTATAATTTATATATTGATCTTAAATACCATGAGCCTAGAAATAATTACTTCTTTGTCAGTTCCCCTCTATTGTCTCCTGCACCCCACACCTATTTACTTGTGGCACTATTCCTTGTACATGCTGGGACTTCATGTAAATCAACTCTGACTGAGTATACATTGAGACGCCTTCAGTGGCCACGTTCTCTAGTTTTGTAATCTTAGCTACAATACTTTTTGGCCATAAAAACATGTGGCAAAATAGATGGCAGTTTGTAAAAAAAAAAGAACACTCATTTTGGATTTGGAGGGACAAAGGCCTAAACATGGTAGAGGGTCAGGAAAACAAGTGTAACCCTTGATAAGATGGATTGACATAGTAGCTCCCGTAATGAACTCAAACATATCAGAGACCGTGAAGATGGCACAAAGCCAGGCAATACTTTGTTCTGTTAAAATAGGGTTATCATGAGTCAGGGAGACTAGAGGGCAATTAACAATAGGCCTAAACATGGATTTCTTGACTTGTAATGAGATCTTGGATGGGAACTTAAACTCTGTTGCTCATGCTCTTCTACAATAGAACAGAGCAAAACAAACTATCACATAGGATTCTTAACTTGACAAAATAGAAGAGAAGGAGATCCTCTTTTTTAAGTTCCAATTCCAGAATAGTTTTAGTAAAATTTATTTTGAGAGGTTGGCTTATGTTGCAAATGTCTATTTTATCCTCATTTCATATATATGAGAATGGTCTTAGTTTTTATCACTAATGGGATAAATCTTCAAGAAATTAAGTCATATTTTTTATGCTCCTAAACATAAGAGAGAGGCAAAGTTGAAGAGATCCTTGTCCTCCTGTGCCTGTGTTGGGAGTAGGAGGTATCAACTTTTTTAGTCAATGAATTAAAGAGGCAGCAATAGCCCTTTCCTGATAATAAGACTCAAATGAAGGTAGAACCACGGTTATACATCACTGATGGTAAGAAGAAAACTGAATGCATGAGATGCTGAGAACAGGAGAGTACAAAGTAACTCTGGTGGTGTAGTGCCAAAGGCATTTGACTGCTAACCAGAAGGCTAGTGATTCAAACCTAACAGCCACTCCTCAGAAGGAAGATTGGGCAATCTACTTCCATAGAGATACTGCCTCAGAAACCCAGAGAGCAGTTGTTATGAGTTGGATCTGACTCAATGGCATTGAGTTTTAGAGTTTATAGGTAATTAATGCTAACTTTTCTAGTTGATGGATATTTAGTGGCCATGAGACAAAGACTTTTTCTAATTTATATAAACATTTGGCTGATTCAGTCAAGCCAGTTTAATCACTCCATAAATAAAGAAATAAAGCAACCCCAAAACTGTTGAAATTTTAATGTGAAGATCTTGAATGATTCAAAAAGGCATCAGTAAGAATTATTGAAATAAATGAATTTTTCTCTGCAAATATATGTGTATGTCAATGGACAGGAATATATATTAATGGTAATATTAGGCGTAGTAAGCCCCATTTATTTTAAACATGCAGTGATCGATTCTGCTGGTTCTAGTCAGGTAAGTTCATATTAGTTTTAAATTACCAAAATACCAGTCTTTATTAAGGGGTATTTGTTCATATACAAGATCATCTTATATTTTGAAGTGTGAACTTAAAAACTAAGTTGTCTAAATAACCAAGTAACTCTTACACAAAAGGAAAATATATGGCTGTCCTTTCTAACCGTAAAACTCATTTTATTTGGCTTTTAAACAGTGTCAAAAATGTAAAATTAATTTTATTTTTTCATGTTGTTACCAGGACTATATAACTTAGTGAGTTTGATATTGTTTTACCTCTTTGGTTCTTGGAAAGTGAACTTTATGAGAATATGTAACGTATTAACAATTAATACATATAGAGAATCTGGCACCTTGAATGATAATTAACATTTATTCACAAATTTTAAATATCAAAGAACAGCTTTGTTATTTCATAAACTATGACTTCAACTTATTGATCATGGCTTCATAAAAACCCTTATTTCATTATTTAATGTTTATCTGCTACAAGTTGTATCTTCAAAATATTTAACATTATCCATTTAAAGGTATATAAAATTACATTTCCCTTAATGAATTTACAAATTAGAAAATTAGATTTCATTATTTTGACTATGTTTCTTTCATTCCTATCAGGTAGAAAGTTGTAATTAAGCATGTCAGAACACAGAGGACTTTGATTTTGAAATTTTTTTGTTTTAATCACAGTTGGCAGGTTCAATCCCATATATTACAATAATGTTTAAAAGCCAAACTTCTGATATGTTTATATAACTAGTGAAGGTAATCGAAACAATGCTTAGTGTAGATGATAAATAATGCAGGGCAACATTATCATAAGTTTTGCAATTACTGTTTTTTTTTTTTTTAAATGTTTGACGTTGATGCAAACAGTAGACAGCCACAGATATTTTTAGAATCAAGAGAAGTATTTAACAAGATAAGTAATTATTTTGCAAATAGTACATATATCAGTAAATACTATTTTGCAATATATAAAAATCAAGGTCTCTTGCAGTTTTTTTTTTTTTTTTTTCTTAACAGTACATTATTGATGGATTGTTATAAACTGGTAAAAAAAATATACCCTGTAGCTATCAAGAGTAAAGAAAATGTCTCAACAATTTTCTCATATAAAGCAGAGCAAATATTTCTTCATCACATGGTTTCGAAGCTTCATTATGCAACACTTGGCCATTATAAGGAAGAATTGTGTTGTCAAATCGTTATACTGAAGAGACTCCTTCCATGGGAGAGGTAGCAAAGCATAGCAGTTGAGGTGATCGGCTCTGAGGACCAGCTGCCTTTGTTCAATCTCACTACTCACAGCAACCTATTCTTGGACAAGTAGCTTATCTTATTTTCAGGTTACGTATTTATAAAATGGGTGTATTATTAATATTTCCCTAATCATGGTATCAATAGGCTTGTGCCTATTAGGTAAAAAGTGAACATACATGTTAATTAAATAATTAAGAATTTATGTCCCCATGGCAACCATGCATACCTCTACTTTTCCCTTTTTACAATATATTTGTATCATCATTTTATTTTATTTCCTTGTTTATTTTGCTACCCCTGATAATGATAAGTTTATCATTAACAAACTTCCCAAACCTACAGCTCTGTTCCCAGTATCTCGTACCCACAGTTTTTTCCCTAATGCTTTCTTTCTTTACACTAAGCACAGCACACAAATTCGAGGGTTTCTTCAAAATGTTCCATGATAAGCATCACTCTCCTCATCTCTCCAAATTCAAATATACGTGCCTAGCCTATTTACTGGAGACATATTTGCTATTTTTCAAAAATATTCATGTTTATCAATCCAAATTACTGTGTATGTGGACATTTTGAACACTGATGCTTAGAAAATTTCAAACTATGCAGTAGGAACTTTTAGGGATAGGCAACAAATATGTACATCAGTAATCTCTGGGAACCTGCCCCTAAGGTACAGAGGTACTGCGTACTTAGACCTTTAGACCATAATAACTTATTTTCTGTTTCAAAAACTTCAAGATGGTTATTTTTTTTGGAAACCATTCTCTCCAACAGTGCAAGACTAGGCAAAAATTGTTAAGGTGAACATTTGATCAGTCAACAATTATCTATTGTCTCCTGATTATATATTTTTTCCCTTCAAAAATGTATTTACCTATTCAATTGATATTAAAGATTTTTCAAAAGTTTTTCACCTTTGATAAAATTAATGACAATATGTGTGAATTGGGAACATATATTTCAGACTTTTATGTTGCAAACCTTTATAAATAATTTAATGTTTTCAGAAAATACACACATTCATATACAATAATGATTTGAATAAATATAAGTGATCTGTCTTAAGACTACAGCTTATAACAAAAATATCCTAAAAGGCTGAAATACACTTTTAAATCAGTACTTTAAAGATAAAGGAGTGATAAATCCACTATGATCTTCATTAACAATCATTTGTTACTTCATTTCTCTTTAAGTCTAGTCATATCAAGTGTCTTACTTTTCCCCCACAACACTTTGAAATGTTTCTCCAGACACTGCGCTCTGCTCTAATTAAAGCATGGAATTATTTTTTCTCCTGAAGCATTCTCACATCCATTGTTATGTCTGCAGCCTTTGTAGCTGATGTAGATTTCCTAAGAAAGATAATGCTGGGTTTGCAAATATGCACTGTGAAAACTGCCAAAGTTTGTGAGGAACTCTCACTGACTGAACGAGCGTATAAATGCTGCATTTTCTAACGAGATGAGAGCTCAATGCCACATCTTTTAAAAACACTTGGATTGCAATGGCTACCTTAAATTCCACAGATAAAGTTTTCTAAGATCCATCTCCCTTGATAACGGCTCGAAAAGCAAAAAGAAAAAGATTTATATAATATACAAACCACCAAGATCTTAATTTGTGAAACTTACTTGTGTTGATATGATCAGACTTACTGCTCTTTGGGGCAGGCCTTTCACACTGAGTGCCTGACCAGTTGGTAGAGCATCTAGAAAGATTAAAAAAAAAAAAAAAAAAAATCAGTGAATAACAAAACCCATAGTCTGTTAATTCACTAACTTCTAAATATATTAAGGAGAAATCTGCCACCTCACAATTTGATTCTTGAATATTATATAGAGATTGCTGCTTATTTCCTGTATATCATCAGATGTTGAGAGTAAATTCAATTGGATTTCATTTGTTGAAATACTTTTTCAAATTTAGGTTCTATTTAAGTTTAGGTCAGTTTTCTTTATGCTCTGTTAAACTTTAAAATTGGCATATTTTGTAACAAGATTGTAATCCAGTTTAAAATTGGGAATACTTTTGGGAATTATTGAAAATTACAAGTAGCCACTTAAAAATCAAGATTGCATATTACAGATGACTTATTAAGAATCTTTTTTTTTTCTTGTTGTGGCAATTCAAGTACAAAATAGCAATAACTATGAAACAGAAAATAGTCATTAGTATTGTACTTTAAGGTACTCTAGTAATCATGGACAGAAATATAGTGGTTTCATTTTTGAAATCCCACTTCTATTTCTGAAAAATCAGGAGAATTTGCCCAAGTTTTTTTGGGAGAAGTTGTTTACTCCCATGTATATAACTATTTTGTCATATGAGAAGTCCAGTTGAGGATTGTAATAGTAGATCTGATTGAAATCCATTATTTAAACATAACTCACAATCATATAATTATTTGATTGTATCAAAATAAATTATGGAATGATTTTAGCTGTGATTGAACAATGCTTATTGGCTAACACAAGATACTTCTGTGCATCTGTCAAAGGAAATCAACAGAGACACAATTTATTTGGCTTCATTTTAAATGACTGTCAGATATCACAATATCAAGAATAGTTGTACATGATTGAAAAAAAAAAAAAAAAGAGCTTCTAGAACCATTCCAAGTGGATCTTTTTGGACTCAGTGGACTGAAACAAATAATTGCAATTTCAAACTCTGCCAATTCTGCCATCTCTCACAGATAGAGAAAATTATTTTTCAAACTAGGCTTCAATGATGTCATGTGATTTATTTGCGATATTCTTAAAAACAGTCTTAGTTGTCCTACAACAGGGGCAAATTCTTACACAATTATCATTACTGACAAACTCAAATCATGAATACAAATACATATTTCAAGATAGCATATATTAACTTCTGTATAATTGACAATAATAGTGTTATAATTTAAGAATATATGACAATTTGTAAAACTATGAGCATGAAGCATGATTTAAATGAAAATTAACATCGTTATTTGTTTATGATTCAGGCCATCACTTATGTCTTATCCCAACATTTTGTTCATATTTCTCATAAAACTAAGCCTACATCTTATATAATCTTCTATACGTCACATTTACTATACATCATACTGCAAGTAGATAATTTAAATAAATAAGCAAATAAAGAAATAACTCCATCTATATTACTAAAGTGAAGGAGTGGATTGAGCATATCTTCAAGTAATTAAAAAAAGTGAACAACCAATAAAACGACTGATCTCCAAAAAACTTTTTTTTTTTTCCCTCCCCTGAGTAGTTGTTTTCAGGTGAATGATGGAGAAAAGTGTTTCATTCTTCAGATTCTAATGAAATCCAGTCCATGGAAAATTCAAAATAGACATTTGGGAACATTTTACAAATATGTCCTTGGGCTTAATTCTGAGAAATACAAAATTCATTTTATTTCACATAGCTTTACATCTGCTAAATATCCCTGATTAGACAATCAAAAAGTTGTGTATATGTTGATGAAAAACTAATGGTGGCATAGCACCTAAGGCATTCAACTGCTAACAAGTTGGCACTTCGAACCCACCAGCCACTCTGTGGAAGGAAGCCTGGGGCATCTACTTCCATAAAGATTTAACACCTTGGAAACCCAAAGTGGGTGGCTATGAGTTGGAATTGACTCAATGGCAGTGAGTTTGTTTTTTTTGTTTGGTAGTAATTTCATCACATATCTGATGTGTATAGAGCTAAATTTTATATCAACCATTGAAATAAAAATATTATAATTTGCTCTTCACATGACCCCTTTGATTTAAAATAAAATAAGTCTGAATTCATCTTTTATAAGAGAAATGACCTGAGAATCTTTGTATGTTACTTGAGATAACAACCTCTGGGGCTCATCACTACCCTAAAATTCTAGGAAGTCAGAAAACGGAATTCCTCAGCAATTGGAATATTAATGGTAATTGTGTTCTGACATCAACATAATATCCTTTAGATACTTCAGAAAGTTATGAGAATTATGTCTTTGGAGCTACAGAAAATCAGAAAGAGACTTTTTAAAACAAAAATGATTAGGATAGTGTGATTCTGATTCCAAAACTCTGGGACTATTTAAGGCATGTGGTATTTGTTAACAATATTGATTAATTTTATAATTTATTCATAGCTAGGAACACAGTATTTGTGATAGATAAAAGAGGGCACTTGCTATTGGTCATGATATTTTTCCTCTTTGAAGTTGTAAGAGCACATTTAAATCCCTAATCTTCAGGGAAAATGTCACTTCTTGAATACTGGAAATAATTATCAAAAGCTGTGTTAGAGAATAATTACATCTAAATTATGTATCTTAATCAATTGATGATCATCTTGCAATTATCCCTGAACTCCTAATAAAATAGTGTTTTATGGCCTAAGATAAAGTAAGATATGGTCCACTGTTCTGCATTTGTTCCAGTTTTGAGAAATAATGTCTTTAAGACATTAAATCAAAAAGAAATCATTATGTCTGTTGCCTACCTTACAAAATTACTACTTAAGGTATTTGCTGCTCCACAAGTTCTTCTTCCAGTGGTTGGTTTAAAACTGAGCATTTTTTTTTTAACCATCTTTATAGAAATTCATAAATCTTCTTACTCTGAATAGACTACAATGATCAAAACCATTAATGGCAGAACATTGACTATTTGGAATGCATATGGATAATCAAAATTTCCTGTCCAATTTCCCACTGCATGGCTTGCATAATCACACTGACTATAATATCTGTGGCATCTATATTTTTTTCATTATTCTTCAGGTGAAATCTATAGTCTATGCCACAGTCCTCTTTGATCTGTATTGTTGCAATCCACTGTCCCTTGGTATTTCATCCTCAGACATGTCAGGCCTGTGAGGCCCTCCCAAGCAATCTTTTTTTTCTCCCTCATCATCACAAATATGTAACTAACATTCCTTTTTAAAGTATTATATAGATGTTTCCCACTGCCCTTAAAATCATGACAAAGAAAATCAGCCTAACCTTTTTTGTTGATCCCTCTATTACTCTGATTTATTTTATATTTCTAATACTTTCCTAAAATTTAACTAAAATTTGTTGGGTCAGGGATGAATGGACATGTAGACAGATAGACAGATAGATAAATATATGAATAGATGCTTATTTACTTTTCGTACAACCACTTATTCTGTTTCTTCACATCATCATATGACGATACTTCTAATAGAGTTTCTTATGGTCAATAGTTTCTTGATAAAGGGTTATTGACTTAACATTATTTGATTTATTCCCTTTTTTTCTTGACTGTTGACATTGAAAATAAAAACTATGGATGGCTACACTTTCATCTTTTTTCATTCTTACATTGACAAGATAGTTCCATGTACAAATGTTCATAATTACAGTATGTTCAAATAAATTTTCCTTTATGTTCTATAGAAATGGTTACTAAACTGAAGAATTTGTTAAAAATTCAAATTCTGAGGACACATACCAGAGGTTTTCATTAAGGAATTTGTGTGGCCGGATATATATACTTAAATGAGATAAATTTGACAAAAGTAATTTAAAAAATCATACTTTAATAATTACTTGAGAAACTTATTATTATACTCTCAGCAGACTCTGTTCTTTTACCAAATATTTTTCAATCAATTTGAATTGTGGAATGGGAATATTAGTATGTATACTTAGTGTGGTTGTTCCGATGATGAAATAAAATGACATAGGAGGAAGTTCTTTACATAATGGCAAGTAAACCAAGTGGGTTTATAATTGATAACTAACTCATATCTTAATGTTCTGGTGGTGTAGTGCCTAAGGCATTTGACTGCTAACCAGAAGGCTGCCAGTTCAAACCCACCAGCCACTCCTCGGAAGGAAGATTGGGCAATCTACTTCCATTGTGACAGCCCCTCAAAAATCCAAGGAGGGGTCATTATATGTCAGATCTGATTCAATGGCAATGATATATATATACATATATATATATATATATATCATATATCATATATATATATGTGTATGTATATATATATATATATCATATATCATATATATATATGTGTATGTATATATATATATCATATATCATATATATATATGTGTATGTATGTATCATGTAGCTACAATATTCTGTTTTAATTGTAATTTTCTTTAGCATAGGAGAACATCTTTGAGTAAAGACAATAGTGTAGCCAATGTTACTAGGATGTACAATAAACACTTCTAAGATATCAAAATAAAGTTTTTGTATATAAGGAATTGTCAGCATGTTTAATGGCACAAATATTGGGTAGGTAATTGTTGTCGTTGTTAGGTGCCTTTGAGTCGTTTCGATAACACTATGCACCACAGAACGGAACACTGCCCAGTCCTGTGACAGCCTCACAATCCTTGCTGTACCTGAGCCCATCATTGCAGCTACTGTGTCAATCCATCTCGTTTAGGTCTTTCCCCTTTTTTTTTTTTTTTTTGGCTTTCCATTTTACCAAGCATGACATCCTTCTCCAGGGAATGGTTCCTTCTGACAACATGAGCAAAGTAAGTAAGACAAAGTCTGGCCATTTTCACTTCCAAGGAGCATTCTGGCTGTACTTCTTCCAGGACAGACATGTTACTTCTTTTGGCAATCCATAGTGCTTTCACTACTCTTTTCTAACACCACAACTCAAAGACATTAACTCTTCTTTGATCTTCCCTATTCATTGTTCAGCTCTCACATGCCTATGAGATGATTTAAAATAACATGGCTTG